TTCACCTGCCCATCCATCTCTTTTGTCAAAAGGAAAAGTGAATGTCTTGCTCATACATGCCTGTAGCCTTACTCATGCCAGGGTCTTGTCTACAATGTGTATTCTGGGTCTCATCCAACATGTTGGTTAAAGCTCTGGTTTATAGGAAGCACACAGGATAAGGGAAAATTGAGATGACTCATAAGGAAGTAACTAGATAAGTTAGAATGAGAGCATTGTACAAACAATGCTCTTGACTCTTTGAAAGGTCAATGTCATAAAAATAAAAACATGAGAGTGGTCTACAAGGACAAACAGAAAATAACTGTATGCCACCCACACAGTTAGATGATAGTCTAATTCAAAAAGGGGAGAAAAAAAAAGAGCAGGTGTTGCCAACTGTGTGACTCAAGCCTGGATAGTCCAGCTTTGGGGAAGCAGAAGCAGGTGGATTATGAGTTCAAGGCTTACCTGGGCTATGTATCAAGACCGTGTGAAAGAGAGGCTGAAGGGGGCTGGGGGAAAGGGAAGGAGAAGGAAGAGTGAAGAAGGGCTGGAGAGATGGCTCAGAGGCTGTTGCTCTTGCAGAGGACCTGGGTTCACTTCCCAGCACCCACATTGCACGGCTCACAGCCGCCTGCAACCCTTTGTCCAGAGGATCCCACACGCTTTACCGACATCAACAGGCACCTGCACATAGGAGGCACACACACAAACACATGAGTACAAATAAATCCTAAAATAAAGAAAGAAGAAATTAAAACAAAAAAACCAAAGAGGGTTAGAGAGATGGCTTAGTAGTTAAGAGCACTAGCTGCTCTTCCAGAGAACCTGGATTCAAATTCCAGTACCCACATGCCACATGGCAGCTCACAGCTGTCTGTAATGGGATCCAATGCCCTCTTCAGGTGTGTCTGAAGAGAGCAACCGTGTACTCATATACATAAAATAAACAAATAAATCTTTTTAAAAAAGGAAGGAAGGAAGGAAGGAAGGAAGGAAGGAAGGAAGGAAGGAAGAAAAGGCTTTGAGTTAGGGAGGGAGAAAGAGGAATACATTTGGGGGCAAATTGCAACATGAACTGAGAGGCAAATGACATAGGCAAGTTACTGTTGATTTTGTGAGGTGGAAGAATTTTAATTGTTAGCATACTTAAAAGAGTGAAATGGAGGTGCACCCTGGTCTACTAGAGGCAAAATGTCAAGCAGCCAGAATTTTCTTTTTTGCAATAGTTTGGCCAAGAAAAGAAAAAGATAAAGCAAATATGAAAAATGTTGAACATTAAATCTTGGAGGTTGAAATATGAGAACACTTTGTATCATGCTGTCTTCTGTATTGTCTGAAATGTTTCAAAGAACGGTTGAGGAGCCAGACTTTCTTTGCTTCTTGCTTTACTTTGCTTTGCTTTGGACAAAGAATTCATCCCTTTCTCCGTACTTTCTCTTTTCTTCTTATTTTATTCTCCTCTGCCTCCTCTTCTTCCTTCTCCTCTACCTCCTTCACTTCTTCCTCCTCCTCCTCATCCTCTACCTCCTCCACTTCTTCTTCCTCCTCCTCTTCTTCCTTCTCTTCTTCTCCCCTCTCCTCCTCCTCTTATTCCTTCTCTTCCTCTTCCTCCTCTGTCTCCTGCTCCTCTTCCTCCTCTGTCTCCTCTATTTTCTTCTTCTCCTCCTGAGATTGGGTCTCATATATCACAGGCTGTGTAGCTGATGGTGGTCTTGAATTTGAATCCTCCTGCCTCCACCTCCCAAGCACTGGGATTAGGGATGTGAGCCAGCATACAAAGTTTTATGTGTTGCTGGTGACAGAAGCCAGGGCTTTGTACAAGCTAGGCAAATAGTCTACCAAATGAACCACATACCCTGCGCCATTCTTTCCTTCCTTTCTTATTATTTCTTTTTATAGTCTGAGGGTGGAACCCAGGGCCACCAAGTATGCCAGCCAAGTACCCTAACACCGAGCTTTACTGCTAGTTTACTGCTCTCTAATTTCCTGCCTCAGCCCCACAGCTTGAGAGTCCTTGGGCGGCCTTGTGCCTTCTTCCTGCTGCTGAGCTGAGGCCCACTGAGGCCAAGATATATGGCTTATTTGCTCACCCCTGAGTCTCTTTGCCTTACCACAGTCCCAGGCACACACAACGGTGTTGTAAACACTAACACACTCTTTCATGCTGAGCACAGAGAAAGCCCTCGGTTTGATTCACTCCCCGAGGGACCTGCAGTGGTCGCCATTAGCATCTGTCTTAGTTAGGGTTTCATTGCTGTGAAGAGACACCATGACCAAGGCAACTCTTATAAGAACAACATTTACTTGGGGCTGGCTTACAGGTTCAGAGGTTCAGTCCATTATCATCAGAGTGGGAAGCATGGCAGCGTGCAGGCAGACATGATGCTGAAGGAGCCAAGAGTTCTACATCTTGATCTGAAGGCAGCAGAAGGAGACTGTGTTCTGCAGACAGCCAGGAGGAGACACTGATTCCACACTGGGTGGAACTTGATTTTAGGAGACCTCAAAGCCCACCTCCACAATGACACATGTCCTCCTACAAGGTCACACCTAATAGTGCCACTCCCCATGGGCCAGACACTCCAACACAATAGTATATGGGGTCCAAACCACCACGGTATAGTATAGACAGAAACACTGCAGTACAAAGAGCATTAGTTTCCTGTCCAAGTGGGACCTTTAGGAGGGACAGAGTTGTGCCTGAATTGGGTCAAGTGGCACTGAAAGCCTGGCTACTGTGTCCCAACCACATCCCAACAGTTGCTCCTTGAAACCTGGATGAGATGGGTGGAAACAACCATTTGTAGGAGAGAAGAGGCCTGGAGGGAGCACGGACTGCCCCCGATACTGAGCAAGTCAGAGTAAAGCTGTTTTTGTCTTCTCAATTCAGATTGTCAAATGGTTCCTTGCCAGGAGGTGGTAACTCAGACCCAAGAGACAACTAGCTGGGTCAACCCATCCTTTTTGTCTTCCTACCTGGTTATCTCCAGCGGCCCCATCCATAAAGCGGACTACCACAGTGATAGATGTTAGCCTTCTACCCTGGATTTGTTGTCACGACTACGTGGGTGGGTTAATCATGGACAACCCTTAAGGTTTGTTTTGTTAGGGATAGACTCCAGGCTTTTGGCATGCCAGGTGAGTTCCGTACAGCTGAGCTACGCCTCCAGCATCATGGGAAACGTTATTAGAGAATGCCTGGTTCAGAGTGCCTCCTTCCTAATTTTACAGAATCCAAACATTTCGCAACAACTCCAGAGTCAGGTTTGCATCCTGAAAACCATCTCCCTTCCCTCCAAATTCTGTTCTGGAGCACACCCTCCAGTCAGAGATTCCAAGTTTCCATTCTCAGATCCTTTTCCTTTAAAAATGCAAGGTTTGATTTCCCATAATCCTCCTTGGATTCCCCTACCTACCCCTGTCTTCTCCTCTCTCTTCTCCTCTCCCTTTGCCCCTGGTCTCTCTCCCCTCTACCTCTTCTTATCCTACCTGCTGCACAGCGCAAAGAAACTAGACCTCTGGATTTTGTTTTTCTGTTTGTTTTTGGTTTTTTGTTTTGTTTTGTTTTGTTCTAGCCAGACTGACCTGGAAGTCACTATGTAGCCCAGGCTAGACTTAAACTTCAGGAGATCCTTCCTCCACCTCTTCCGTGCTGAGACTACAAGCATGAGGTACCTGGCCCAGCCCTCCATTTTTATCACTTCTTACTAAGTCTCTCCAGCTGTAAAATGAGGTCTCCTGGCTTCTTATCTGGCCAGGTGAGGGCAGGTTCTCTGGGCCCCAGTGGATATTGACCTCTGCCAGAAGAGCCACCCTCAACACTATCAGTAGTCACCCTAGGTGCCAGCCCTGCTATCCTGGATAGGCAGGAGAGAGCAGGAGGTCTTCTGGGGCGGCGGCTGCGGCCTCTGCAGTCTGGACCAGGCTGGCTATGGTCCAGCTGGCTCCATAGCCTGGGACACTTTTCTACACAAACTGGTTTTTCCCTCTGGCTGGCAGCCCAAAAAAGAGTAGCACAATTCACTCCCAGCCCGAGGCTGGGGAGGCTCTAGCTGACTCTTCCAGACTCCTAGGATTGTACCTCGTGACTTATGGGAAGCCTGCTTTTCTTGAAAGCAGGTTGAGTGCAGTACCCAAGCCTTACTGCTAAGTCTTGCCTAGTCTCATCGAGAAAGCTTCTGGAAGATCCGAGCCGGAAGCTGGGTTAGCCAGACTCGCCTTGTACAGCGGCAGAGCTGCTCTGGAGGGAGGCAGGACCTCTCTAAGGCTCTGCACTAGGGTCCACGAGTAGCCAAGAGACCCATAGCTCCGAAGACAAGTTTGTAGCTGTGCTGTTTCCGGAGCTAGCAGAAGGCAGAGCTAGCAGTGGGTAGAGCAAAGATTAGAGTCGGCACACAACAGCTAAGGAGGCCTGGAGGCCCGTGCCCCCTCCACGTCCTCAGCAGCCCTGGCTCTGGACTCTTCTCCTCTGTGGTCCTGATAAATTTATTTTCCACTGTGAAGGTCTGTATGATTTGGAATGGTCTCTCCCTTCTCTGGGCCTCAGTTTCCCCATCTGTCCATAAAAGGCAGGACTGGATCATTTTCAAGAAACTGCTTGCCAGGCTCGGTGTTGAGCCCAGCGGATGCAATGTATCTGCTGAAATGTATGGGGGGGGGGGGTCTTAATGGGTGAATCCTGGGGGTTCTGCATCACATGGGCGAAAGACCCCCATCTGCCCCCAGATCAAGAAAGAGCTTGGCAGATCCGGCCTGGCGGGGACCAGCGCTCTGCATGTCCCTGGCTCAGTGTCGGTTTAGACAAGAAGACCTGGATTCTCCAGGGAAAGTAACCCTGCTAACCCACCAGGTTCCCGCCGTGCCGCTCCCGCAGCGGAGCCCAGCGCAGGAGTGCAACTGGTTCCCTGGCAACCTGGGAGGAATCCAGCCGCAGCTACAGGCTCTTCCTCTCCCCTCCCACCGCCTCCTACTGCGGGCGCCGGGGGCGGAGGCTGCCAGCCCATTATAAAAAGCAACCGAGGCCAGCGGCGGCGAGTGACTACTCGGAGCTGCGACACGTCCCACCCTCCTGGCCCGCCGAATTCCTGCACTCCAGCCATGGCTCCCTCGCGGCTCGCGTGGCTGCTGCACCTGGCCGCGTTCTTTCATCTGTGTACTCTTCTGGCGGGTGAGTGGGTTCCGACCCTACCTGGGGAAGAAAGGAAGGGTATGCAGACTGCATCTCCCTGGGGAAAAGAGGCCCTCTGCTAGTCCCAGCCATCCCGGTGGCCCCTGGGGTGAGAGTCGGGAGACACCTCGGAGGGGTCTGTGGGAGGCACAAGGTGTCTGGGGAGTAGAGTGAAGGCTGGGAGAAACCTGAGCAGGATCCTACTGAGGTTAACTGTAACCTGTATAAGGCCTGGCTCGGGGCCAGGGAATAGTTAGGACTTTCCCCTGCCCTGTTGTTCAAGGCCCCCAGGAATAGTTAAGGTCAAGGTCACTGCAGCTCACGGATGGGGCTTGTCTCTTGTACTGGTGTGCAGCTTGTCATCCCTCTGCCTGTGTCTCCCCCATCATCCTGGCCACTTCCTCCAAACCCAGCTTAGAAAATATTTTGTTTCCACAGACTTGCTTCCTGGAGTCCACTACCTGGTAGTAATGTAGACATTCCTAGGGACATAGGAAAGATGGAGACCCAGAGATAGAGATCTGTCTGAGGATGCTCTGCCAGCATGCAGGACAGGAGAGTGATGTCCAGGGATTTAATGAGGGAGAGACGAAAGGCCTTGCCTACCCTCTGTGTTGACCATTCTACCTCCGTTAACCTCTAGAGCTCCATCCTCTGGGAGGGCTAAGACTATTTAGCAGTCACGCTCAGAGAAGGTGGCACTCTGCTTTAGGGCACACAGTGAAACTGGAAGAATAAAAGCCAACCCCCAGCTTCCAGGATATCTCCATGGAACTGAATCACCAGGGCCACAGGGAGCTGGGTGGGTGAGTGGGTGGGAGTGGGGGCAGGAGGTAAAATTGTGCCTGGCTTTATGCTGTCTGAGCCCTGGCTCTCAAGCGGGAGATATTTGGAGACAGTGAGCACTGGGAAGTAAGAATCAGGTGGAGGTTGCTTTGCCATCACCTCCCTGTGTGTCCTGGAGCAGGGTCTTGACGTCTCTGGTCTCAACTGCTGTACCATTCACTGCCTCCCTGGTGAGAAGGTTCCAGTGTCTAGGAAGGCATTTTGGAAAGTGCATGTGGTTATGGTGGCGGGCATCACTTTCATTAAGCTTACAGGGAAATCCTAGGCAAGGCTGGAAAAGAAACCCAGAATGTTTGAAGTCTGAGGACCCTAATCATGGTCGCTGGCTTTGCTAGGAGACCCCAGTGAACCTCACTTTCTTCTCCCCTTGAATGAGGTATTCAGCTAGGTTCACCCTGGAGCTCCCCCAGCAGGGGGTCTCAGGCTTTAGGGCTGCTGCAGGCTGGTACTCGGTTGGTGCAAGGCATCTGCGTCAGTCCCCAAATGTGGGTCTGCAGGACTGTGTCAGGCGATCACTCAGCGCTTTATGTAACAAACCTGCAAATGCAAGTTAGAGCAGAGAAGGCTGCTCTCCAGCACTGACGCATTCACTCCCACTCAGCCTCAGCAAGAAAGAGAAGGGGGGGAGCTCTGCTTTCAGCTGTTACAGCCTGCTTCCCCCATCATCCGTGGGGGTGGAGAGGTCGGAGGCGGACAGCTCCAGTGTCAGATTGAGGGCCCTATGGATTTCATTAAAAGCAGCCCCCACTTCTCTGTTGGTCGAGGTTGTATATGCCATCAGGCACTTCTGCATGCATCTCGTCCATTCATTTGGCAAACGCAAGCAGGACACCTGCTGGGTGACAAGCATATTTCTGGGTGCTAGGACCACAGCAGGGAATAAAGGGGCCACGGAGCCCAGCTCTCAGGGTGATGAAATCTGGCTGCAGTACACAAAAATAAACCAGTAAGCCATTTGGTCTCTTAGAAGGAAAAAGCACAGGAAGGGAGGGGTGGCTTAACTTGTGTCATTTGCTTGGTTTTTGTTTTGTTTTTGAGACAGGGTCTTTCCATGTAGCTCTCCTCCTGTCTCAGCCTCCTTGGGAGGAGCCTATAGGAAATGTGCCTACCATGTTGACATTATCTATGGGAAGAAGGTTGGGGAATGGATGAGCTCTCTATAGGGTGGTGGTCCTCCCAGGGGATATTTGGCAATTTCCAGAGACATTTTTTTTTTACTATGATTACAAATATCTCAATATTTTCAGCTTCTGGTGTAGAGTGTACAGCATCATCTCCCACCACAAACAAATGAGCAGGTCTAAAATGTGAACAGTATGGCCACTGAGAAAAGCTGCCCCAGGGCCCACCCAGTGTGTCTTAGCAGTCCTTAAGGGACAACCGGAAGCATACTTCTTTTTTTTTTTTCTTTTTTTTTTTTGGTTTTTCGAGACAGGGTTTCTCTGTATAGCCCGGGCTGTCCTGGAGCTCACTCTGTAGACCAGGCTGGCCTCGAACTCAGAAATTCGCCTGCCTCTGCCTCCCAAGTGCTGGGATTAAAGGCGTGCGCCACCACCGCCCGGCCGGAAGCATACTTCTTCTGGGAAGCCTTCCCTGATTACTCCTCACATTTGAAAGTTATCTCTCATTCCTGTAAATCCTAGGGTGTCTGTGAATGGCCAGAATGTGAGGCTTTACCAGGATTATGCAACGGTAGCGTCTAGGAAAAAAAACCAGCTCTGCCACAAACAGTAGACTGTGCTTACAGTGGCAAGGGCCTGAACCCTCTGGTCTTCGGCTTCTGCATCTGTAAGAAGAGGATAGCAATGCGCCCTTTGCAGGGATTGGAGTTAATAAGAGCAGATGCGTGTGTGCTCGAAACTCAGTAGGTGCTCAGTACCTCATCCTCATTTGTATCTTAACTACCCACAGATCCAGGACCCTTCTGAAGGCAGAGACAGGCCCCACTTCCATTCCATGCCACCTCACCCCCTAGCCACCAATACACACACACACACATACACCGTATGCCTCACAGCACCCAGCTCAGGGCTTGGCAAGAGGGAAGAGCCAGCACTTGGTTGCCTCAGTAAATAGCGATCACTCCGAACACCAGCACCTGCAGGAGGAAGCACTCAGGCTTAAAGAGAAAGGGATCCAGGCTGTGTACATACTCAGAAGTAATGCAAGCCAGCGCTGGCTGATTTAGGAAATGGATGTGTGAATGGACCAATGAATGGACAGATAGATAGATGTGTGGGTGGGTGGATGGATGATGGATGGATGGGTGGATGGATGGATGACTGAATGGAGGGATGGATGCATGCATGCATGGATGGATGCATTCACGCATGCATGCATGCATGGGTGCATAGCTGGCTGGCTGGCTGGATTATGGATGACTGGTGAGCAGATTAGTAACAGGCAGGGGGTGAAAAGAACTTGACAGGTGGGTGTGACTTTGAAAGGGTGACAGACAGACAGGTGGGTGAGTAGGGTGGGTAGATGGATGGGAGAGGGTGAATAGGAACAAGAAGGCAGCTAGGAGAAAGGAGGCAAGAAGGATGGAAAGGTGGGTGGATCTACGGATGGTCAGATGGATGAATGGATAAATGGGTACATAGATGGAAGGGTGGGTGGGCGGATATATCTAAAGGAAGACAAGTGGATTGAAATATTACTTGTTTTATGAATATTTACTGAGTGTCCAGGTTGTGGCCAGCACTGAGATGCACAGTGGCATGAGGCAGACACACACATCTCTAATCCCCGGACTCACTTAGCGAACAGTAGGTGGCTTGCTGCACAGAAGCACTGCCTCCCTTTCAAGAAATAAGAACTTAAGTGTGAAGAAGGCAAAGGCCTTCCCCAGTTGGTGACATAGCTATCCTGGTAGAATCAAGTTCTGATCCCAGCCAAGGACTGTGTGGCTCACAGCAGAGGTTGGCTTTGTGGCCCTCTCAGCTCTGCAGGAGGTAGTGGTCTCCTCTATCCTAGTTGGGGTCTTCCTTGCCACACGGCCTCCTATCTCAAATATCACACGATTTCTCTAGGAAGATATCTGCCAGACCCATGCAGGAGTGGCCACCAGGCTACTGTCACCAGGGATTTAGGAAGGGGAGTTGCAGCTGAGCTATTCTTAGGTCTACTGGGGGGTGGAGGAGGGTGACGAGTCTATACTGTAATTTGAGGGGGTCTGGGGGAGCAGAGATCAACCCTAGCGTTGTCCCCAGGAACTACCCACCTTGTTTTTTGATACAGAGTTTCTTCCCTGGGATCTGGAGCTCACTGATTGGTCTCTACTGACTGACAAATGAGCCCAAGGATCCGCTTATCTCTGCTTCACCAGTGTTAGGATTACAAGCACACACCACCATGCATGGTTTTCTACATAGGTTCTGGGGAATCGAACCCAGCTCCTCAAGCTTGTGTGGCAAATCCTTTAGCTACTGAACCATCTCCCCAGCCCTGAACTGTGACTTTCATATCCTAGTCCTTGTGGGAGAGAAGACAGCACTTTAATTCAGCCAGTGAGGTCAGGAGCTACTAGGGTTGGCCTTGTCATGAACCAGCTCAGACCTGCAGCCCAAACTTCCTTTCCCGCAAGATGGTGTGGCCCATGGCCAGGAGTGATGGGGCAAGGAGTTGGTTAGAAAGCCTGGGTGTGGGCTAGCTTTGGCTAGTTCTTTTTTCAGGGGTTGTGCTGAGCACAAACTCATGTACACCAGGCAAGCACTGTATCCCTGAGCTCCATCATTCTTGGCGAAATAGAGCATGTTTGCACACCCATATGTGTATAAGGATTGTGCACAAGCAGTGTGTTTTAGTGGAGCTGAAGAACAACTAGGCTCCCAGGTTCTAAAGGCTGAGTCAGATCACTCCTCGCTCCTTCCTGGAGAGTCTTGGGTTCTAGATGTTCAACATAGCCTTTCCCCAGATCTAGAACCCAAGCCCTTCTCCCCTCCATCCCCATTTTCCATGAGTTTACACTGGGGCAGATGACAGGACACTCTGCTGGAGATTTAGATCAGAGGTTCTCACCCGTGGGTCGTGATGTCATGGAGATCAAATGACCCTTTCATAGGGGTCGCCTAAGACCACCTGCATATCAGATTCATACATTACGATTCATAACAGCAGCAAAATTACAGTCATGAAGTAGCAACAAAGATAATTTTATGGTCGGGGGGGGGTCACCACCACTTGAGGAACTGTATCAACCACTGGTTTAGACAATGCAGGTTGATAGAGATAGAATGCAAAAAAAATGTTAAATGTTTATATCAAATGACTGGGTTTATCCACTCATAGAAATCCCTGCCCAGGGGCTTCTGCTGTAACTGTCTGCATGCCCTTGCCCCCTACTCTGCCCCCACCCTTTCTCCTGAACTCCTTATCCCAAACTCATTTTGCAGAACACAAGGGAACCCGCTCAGCAGACACTCACACATTTCCCAGGGAGGTGAGCTTGCCTGTTCAACACAACCTCTCCTGAAACCTTACCTGTTCCATGTACCTGGTCACATGTGTGTGTGTGGAGGAGGAGGGGGATGATTGTGTAGGGTGATTGTTGGGCACTTGACTTAATTGTGCCAAAGATAGGGATGGGCAAAGAAGGCAAGGCCAGGATGGGGGGTGGGACAGGGCTTGAAGAGCAGGGCCTCTCTGTCACATTTAGGCCAAGTGACTGTGGGCAGATCTGTGTCTCTCTTAGATTCCTCTCCCCAGCTATGACTTCATTTTAGAAATTAAATGTTTCCAGGCTGGGAATTGTGACCTACACCTTTAATCCCAGCACTTGGGAGGCAGAGGCAAGCAGATCTTGGTGAGTTCAAGGCCAGTCTGATCTAATAATGAGTTCCAGGACAGCCAGAGCTACATAGAGACTCTGTCTTTAACAAAAAAAAAAAAAAAAAAAAAAAAAAAATAAAAAAACTAAATGCTTCCTAGGTTTCAGGCAAAAGGAGATTCATTAATAAAGATTAATTTTTATCAGTCCAAAACAACCCCAAAGGCTGAGACTCTCGCTATCTGGCAGGTTATCAGGGGTTGGGTCAGATGTGGGCACTGGCTTGGGAGTACAGCCAGGAGAAGCTGAAATGGGGATGGGACGCCAGATGCCCAGGGGTCCTTCTGACTGCCGGCCTCTGTGGACTCAGGTCAACACCTCGGCATGACGAAATGCAACATCACGTGTAACAAGATGACCTCCCGAATCCCCGTGGCTTTGCTCATCCACTACCAGCCAAACCAGGAGTCCTGCGGCAAGCGTGCCATTGTGTAGGTATCAGTCTCAACCCCTGAATGCCCTGGGACACCCCAGCCTGTCCCCCTCCTTGCCTTACCCTGGGCTTCCTGCTAAAGGCCTTAGCAAGTACCCCCTTGTTCCAGGCCCACAGGCTACCTCACTGACTTTAAGATCAGTGGCAAACAACAGAGGTGGGAAATGGCTTCCTGGATGGCCCACTGTGGTCCAGAGCAGCACCCAGGATGGAGCCTCCCCTCAGCCCACTAGATCCCATGGGGAGGTTGAGGGAAGTGGTGTACCAGAGCAGGATCCAGTCTCCTGCAGGAGATAGGTAGCAGGAGGGTGAGAGGAGATGGAGCAGCTAAAATGGTTGGCTAAACACTTGGAAGACACAGAAAGGCCATCACCAAGAGCAGGTCCCTCAGAGCCTCTGGGGAGGAAACAGGCCCAGTCAGTCATTTTCTGCCTGGCCAGTTTGGTCCCTTGTTCCTTTTGGGGCCCATGGTGAGTACAGCCTGTTTGCTTAGTCCCGAGTCCCTTCCCCAGCATTGATGGCGGCTCCACAAGAAGTCTCAGCCATACAGGAAATGATCAGTGTCCTTTTTAACTCCGGCTCTGCTGGCGGAAGTCCAGCGTTTCCTGTCCCCTAGACAGCTCCCCCAAGGAGTGAGATTCAAATTGTATTCCTGCCTGCTCGCTCTGCTTCCCCAGCAAGGATTGCTTCTTCCAGATACCCCCAAATACTTGTCTGTCTCTTCTAGAGAAAGTAGAAGAGTGAACGTAGAACCCTTGGGAGTGCCTCAGCTTCTCAGGATACCCCAGTTGGGCATGCTTTATCTGTCAGCCTCATTTTCCTGCCTGTTAAAGGGCGTTAGCATAGTGGCTGCAGAGTAGAGCCTGTATGAGCTGCAGAAACTGTAGGCATGGAATGTGGGCTCCTGTCAGCTCTGAACTACTGTTAGGGCAAAAAAATCATGTGTAGCCTCATGGGAAACTCTAGACAGAAACCACATGGAGAGCCCAGAGCCCCTTACCTTGATAGCAGTGATATGGTTAACACTGTGGTTATTTCTAAAGCTTACAACACCCGCTCTGACAGGGCGCTTTCTCTAGATAGTTTACCCTTTATTTTGCTTAACAATATCACAGAAGTAGGATCCCCATTTGCGTGGGACTTTCCTGGTTTTGAAAGGGGAAGTCCCTCAGCCTGAATGCTGAATGCCACAGTTCATCTGAGGTGGAGGGTTCCCCTCCAGGCCACAGGCATTTGTGTCTCAGCCAAGGACTGGGACACATAGGGTATGGAGTGGCCCCAAACCTCATGCTAGCAAGCCAGGCCAGCTTGCCTGAAGAGTATGCGAGCAGTACCCCAGACCACAGCAGCCTGGCTGTCTAGAATCTGGGCATCACCGGCCCCCTGTTTTCCTTATAGCCTGGAGACGAGACAGCACAGACACTTCTGTGCTGACCCAAAGGAGAAATGGGTCCAAGACGCCATGAAGCATCTAGACCACCAGACCGCTGCCCTGACTAAAAATAGTGGCAAGTTTGAGAAGCGAGTGGACAATGTGACACCTGGGATCACCTCAGCCACCAGGGGACTGTCTCCATCTGCCCTGGAAAAGCCTGAATCAGCCACAGTAGAAGAAGACCTTACTTTGGAGCCGACTACTATTTTGCAGGAGGCCCGAAGGCCCATGGGGACTTCCCAAGAGCCACCAGCAGCAGTGACTGGATCATCTCCCTCAACTTCCGAGGGTCAGGATGCAGGGCTTACCACCAAGCCTCAGAGCACTGGAAGTTTAGAGGTGGCTGCCGTCTCTACCACCATTTGGCAGAGTTCTGCTGTCTACCAATCTGGATCTAGCCTTTGGGCTGAGGAAAAAGCTACTGAGTCCCCCTCCACTACAGCCCTATCTCCTAAGGTGTCCACCACTTCACATTCAACCCCAGAGGAGAATGTTGGGTCTGAAGGCCAGCCCCCATGGGTCCAGGAACAGGACCACAGTCCAGAGAAGTCTCTAGGGTCTGAGGAGATAAACCCAATTCATACTGATATTTTCCAGGACAGGGGACCTGGCGATACAGTCCACCCCTCAGTGGCCCCCATCTCCTCTGAAGAGACCCCCAGCCCAGAGCTGGTGGCCTCGGGCAGCCAGGCTCCTAAGGTAGAGGAGCCCATTCATGCCACTGCAGATCCCCAGAAACTGAGCGTACTTATCACTCCTGTCCCCGACACCCAGGCAGCCACCCGGAGGCAGGCAGTGGGGCTACTGGCCTTTCTTGGTCTACTGTTCTGTCTGGGGGTGGCCATGTTTGCTTACCAAAGCCTCCAGGGCTGTCCCCGCAAAATGGCGGGGGAGATGGTAGAAGGTCTCCGCTACGTCCCCCGTAGCTGTGGCAGTAACTCATACGTCCTGGTGCCAGTGTGAGCTGCCTGCCTGCCTGCCTGTGTCCAGAGTGTGATTCAGACAGCTGTCTGGGGACCCTCATCATACCCACCTTCATCCACGCTGGGAAAATGGGAATGGAGAAGCTGGATCCTCCAGGGGCCGTGTGCTCCAACCCCCCTCACCCCCCGCAAGGCGTGGCCCTGGAGGCCACCCTAGACCATTATTCATTCATCAGAGACAGAGCAGGTGACCTTCCAGCTCTCCTGTATTTGAAAGAATCCTCTGCTGCTGGCTGGTTAGAGGGGCCCTTTGACATCCCAACTCGAGTGAACAATTATTTATTGGATTCCCAGCCCCTGCGACACCTGCTTCCTATGTGCACCGTGGTCCACCCATCTCACAAGCAGCAGGCCAGGCCTATCTGCCTGTCCCCCTGACCTCCTCGTGTCTCCTGGCTTTGCTGCAGTCGCCAGCCCTTCCTCCTCCCTGGCCAGCTGCGGTGCTATCTGCCCTGTGTCTCCCTGATCCCCTGTACAGAGCGCACCACCATCAACACCGTGTCGTGTCTCTTCTTGCATGAGGTTAATGCTGTGTTTTCTGGAGCTCTCTGGGAAGGGAGCCGAGCTTGTGCGAGGGTTGAAAGTGTTCCTCCCCGGACTTTGATGTGCTGTGAAGGCATGCTGCATCTGAAGGAAGGGTCTGGTCCCCACTCAGCTACTGGCACCACAAAGGGCCCCACCTTGTAAAAGAAAAGAAACATGGCCCAGAGCTGGCAATAACCTATGGCCCTGACATCATCACTTTCTCTGAGATCCTTGTCCCCGTTCCTGGATGCAACCCCCAGCCCTTATCAACACTAATAGTCACTGCCATTCCACTGGACTGACGCTGTTGTACTCTGTGACTCTGAGGGCTGGCAAGGGGTGACGTGAGAGTGCAGATCCTACCCTGTAGGCCCCCAGATGGAGGCTGAGTTGGCGACTTGAAGGAACAGAGGCCAACTCAGAAGGCTACACTGGGTGCTCACTAGGCACCCCTCCCCCATGCACCAAGGTGACAGTCACAGGTCTGCCCTGTCTGAAGAACAAGCCAAAGAGGGAAGATTAGGATTAGCCCCTGGGAGGCAGAGGACCCAGGGTAAACCCCTGGAGTGGCCATACACCTAATTTCATTTTAGGGACTTGTGCATGCTTGTGTTTGCACAGCCCAGACCATTGAGAGGCTGCCAGAGTCCTTTCCTACATCTGAGAGCACCGTTCACGCCACGGTCTCACCTTTGCCCCACTGCAGGCTGGGCCAGAATTCCCATAACATTCTCTAAGAGCCCCGTGGAGTTTTCTGGAAGGGAAGGGACTCTGCCCTGGGCACAAAGTGACTACTGAAGCAGGGAGCAGCTGAACAGCACCCCAGCGGGAGCTGAACCGGCAAACCACGCCCCTCGGTGGCAGCTCTCCCCACCCTGATCTGAATAGCTCCAACATCACCTTGAAGGGAAGGGCTTCACCCGGAAAGCCAGTGACTCACTCCTTGATAGGTGGAAGCTCAGGACAGTTGGCTCTGTCCCAGAGTGAGGAAGCCAGCCCCTTGGTGACCCTCCTCCTGAGAAGCTGGTGGGAGACTCTGATCAGGCTCCAGTGTAACTAGCTGTAGGCCTGAGGAACAGCAGCCCGAGTGCACTATATCCCGGCTCCTCCGGTGGGGAGCCTTCAAGGGTTGGAACACCCATTGTCGGACTTTGTTGGTTCCTCCCTCCCCCAGAAGAATGTGGGCCAAGACAGTCTAAGGAGGACTTTGGAAGGAGTTGGTTGATCCTTTAGTTTTTTCAAGCGTCATTACCAATGTCTGTGCCATTTTGTATTTTACTAATAAAATTTTAAAGTCTTGTGAATCAAATAAAGGAACTTTTCTCTGGGGTAGGCCTTGGGTGGAGTTGGGGATAGGAGTGCGGATCCTGTCTCTAACTTAACTTGCATGGGGGGGGGGGTGAGGGGGCAGGGATTTTCCCAGAAGGCCTTGCAGATGAGAATAAAAGGAGAACTGGGCCCTGGCCTGGCTCAATGCTGCCTCTGTGTGTAACGGTGAGCTGAACCTTTCACCTCTCTGGGGCTCTATGCACGTGCCTGGTCTCTTGCCAAGACGTGGGATCCCTGTGGGTCCTACTCAGTGTCCCAGGAACCACCACCCTGATGTTACTGTCATTGATATGGTGCCCACATTTTCCTCTACACTGTCTCTACTCATTCCTGGCTCATGTAAAGACGAAGAGGGATTAGCTCTTCTCAAGAAACCAGGACGCTCATAAATAGGACTCAAGAGTAAGCTGTTCATTGGCCTTTCAGTTTCTCAATATACATCATTAGAGCTGTTCCGTACAGTCGTGCAGATTGAAAATAGCACAAGGTTATCTCAGGTCAGGTCCAGCCTATGGTATACAATCTTTCGTGAATTCTAAAATAGACATTTTTTTTCTCACGGTGATGTGTTAAGAGTTAGGATTTACTTTGCTATCAGTGACTTAGCCACTGTTTGTTTGTTTGTTGTTTGTTTATTTTTCCTTTTGAGTAGTGCTAAACCCCCCAGGCCTCAGACATGCTAGGCAAAGCTCTGTACTCCTGACCTGCATCCTCCACTCTCTTTTTGATGTTTCATTTTGACACATTGTCTGAGTTGCTTGGACTGGCCCAAGCAGGCCTTATAATCCTCCTGCCTCAACCTCTTGAGTAGCTAGCTAGCAGTATATATTCTGCGGTTATTAAATATCAGAACATCTTTCTATCAATAACATCTCAAGATTCAGTCTCTACGTTGTAGTTTTAAAATTGGAGGCAGCAAGGGGCTGGAGAGCGTTCAGATCACCTGCAGCTCTTGTAGAAGACACAGGCTTGGTTGCCAGCACCCACATCAAGCGACTCACAGGGGATCTGATGCTCTCCCCTGGCCTCTATGGGGCACCATCACACACAGGCAGACACCCACTCATACTCATAAAATAAAAATAAGCAAACTGTTGAAAATAAAATTGGAGACCGCATTTAAAAATATCAAGAAGTTGGCCCATGTACACTCATTGACTAAATTCCCTCAGTGACTCAGATGGGACCCCACAGCCTGTGTTCTCTCCAGGTGACAGGTGGGGGTTGGGAGTGGGGCTTACAGCCCGAGCACCAGTTGTCCTATGCAGCTCAACCATCTATGTCCCACTCTCTGGGATCTATCAGGTGCCATTTGTTGTCACCACCCTCTGGGTTTCCTATGGTAAGGACATTGTTTTGGAGCCCCTGTCTCTATCAAAAACACATCAAGGGAAGGGAGACCATGATCTCACTTCCCTCTCTTCTGGGGCCTCCCTCGCCCCATTGTTTCCTGCCTGTTTTCATCAGCTGCAGAGATCCGCAGCTTCTGAAGGATAGGGGCTGCCTCCCCACGTCAGTTCTCCCTCTGTGAGGGGAGTTCTTCAGGTAGACCCACATCCTCCTGGCCTGAGTCCCACATCCAACTAAAACCGCTGCTGATTGTTGCCCCAGGCTTTTCCCTGGGATGTGGCTGGATTTGCTGGAGGTGTGGGTGATGTCTTGAACAGAATCAGGAAGAGGAAGGGAGTCGAGAAACCTGAGTCCGGGTTCAAGGCTCCCCAGGGACCTCAAAGCACGGAGACCTCTCATTTTCTCTTTCAGTTAGCAAGCTCAACTTAGCGAAAGCAATCCCCATCACCAATTCCAAGTTTGAAATGGCAGTTATTCTGCAATTCCGTGCAATCATGCTGATAATAGATACTTTCTTCATAGTGTCCACGTGCCAGGCTGTGTGCCAAGCTCTTCCAGCAGTGAGCTTTACCATGACAGTAAAGTTTGCCAAGGATATGTGAACTCCACTCAGGGGCACAGCTCAGGGGTAGAGCACCTGGCTCATTCCCAGTGTGACATCTGAAGATGTGTGACTTGTTCCAGTCTCCCACAGAGCTGGCATGTGGCATATGACATACCTCCTAGTTGGCCAGAGTTTTAGGGCCCACTGCAACAGGTACACCCCTTCCCCCCTCCCCAGGTCATCAGGGAACCGAGGCAGTAGCCAGCCTCAGCCCTTCCACCTTAGTCCCTTTGCTCCTAGATCTGGGCTCCACTTCTGCATTCCCCAGAAGGGCGAGGCCAGACAGAAAAACACACAAATGAATGGCTGGGAATTTCCAGCTTTGAGCTGAAAAATAGATGTTTTGGGGTGTGTGTGTGTGTGTGTATGTGTATATGTGTATGTATGTGTGTGTATGTACATCAGTATGTGTGTCTGTATGTGTGTATGTCTGTCTGTGTGTGTGCATATGTGTGTATGTATGTATGTGTGTCTGTGTATATGTATGTATATGTCTGTGTGTGTATGTGTGTCTATGTGTGTGTATGGGGCTGTATGTGTATGTGTGTGTATATGTGGGTATCTGTGTCAGTATGTGTGTCTGTGTGTCTGTGTCTGTGTGTATGTATGTGTGTGTATGTGTGTATGTATGTATCTATATGTGTGTTTGTGTGTCTATGTGTGTGTATGTGTGTATGTGTGTATATGTGTGTGTATGTGTGTGTGTCTGTGTGTTTGTGTGTGTGTATGTGTGTTTGTGTGTGTGTGTGTGTTTGTGTGTCTGTGTGTGTGTATGCGTGTCTGTGTGTGTGTGTGTCTGTGTGTGTTACATGTAGTATATGTGCTCAAGCATGGTATGGAAGTGCATACAGCTGTTCTAAGGGGGTTGCAGGGAGGGCTCAGAGGCCTCAAGACCCCATGCACATGTGCAAAGTACATATAATGACTCAACTTCAAGGACTTGAAACAAGTCCTTCTTGGCTGGCTTGCCTGAACCAGAGCCAAGTTCAGCAGCTACGACTCCCGAGGGACCTCTGTAATCTCAACCCATTGCAGTCAGTGCCTCTACTGCCAGGTGAATTCCAGAGCCCTTCCTTAACCTCCAGGTGATCCTGCTGCCCCTAGGGGGCAGAACAGTACTGCTCAGGATGAGCACCTTGTCTCGAGCAATACAGGGACACAATGTAACATGGGGTTTGCTGGCTGTGCAATTTTGACCCTGTTCCTTGTTTTTCTCCTAAATGAAACAGGAATGAGAACTTAGCTCAGGGGTATAGAAATCGTAAGATAACCCTCATCAAACACTTAAGACAAGTGATTATGGCCAGTGGCTAGTAACTAGAACGCGTGATCCATATTTCCAAATGGTTTGAAATTGCACACACACAAACACAGACACACATACACACTATATCTTGGGGGCTGAAGAAATGGCTCAGTGGTTAAACACACTTGCTGCTCTCCTGGAGGACCTGAATTCAGCTGTTTGCACCCATGGCAGGCAGCTCAGAACTGCTCGTAACAGTAGTTCTCAGAGTTCTGATGCCCTCTTCCAGCTTCCAAAGGCACCATATCATGTATATATGCTCACACACAAAAATACACATAACATACATAAATAAACAGTAAAAGGAATCTTCAAGGAAGAAAAAGAGAGAAGATCTCACATAGGGTGGACCAGCCTTGAACCTAACATGTAGCCAACATGACATGTAACATGGTCATTCATGGGTGACCATGAATTCATAATCTTCTTGCTTCTTCCTCCCAAGTGCTGGGATTGCCACCATCCTAATTGGGGGGAGGGGAGAAGCAGGGCATCACATGTAGCCCAGGCTGACTTCAAACTGCTGGGCACAGGATCCACTCAGCCTCCCAAGGGTCTGGGAATACAAGATTTTGTTATTGGGTATTCAAACAAGACTATAGAATTACAGGGTGACCATAAATAAATACAGTCTTCCTGCTCTTCAGGGAAGTAAAGAACTACTGTGGTGTCAGATCCCAGCACTAGAGAGGCAGAGGCAGAGGCAGGAGGATTGCTGAGACCAGTAAGACCTAAAGGGAGACCTGTCTCAAAAAAAGAAGAGGAAGAGAAGGAAGAGAGGAGGCAGAGGGAGGGAAGGGAGAAAAAAGGCATTATGGTATTATTACGCAGATAACAGTAATCTGTAATTTGGGGCAGGAGAGATGGCTCAATGGTTAAGAGTGAGTGCGGTCTGCTTTTCTAGAGTACACAGGTTCAATTCCCAGCACCCACATGGCCATTCATCTATCACTATTCCCAATTCTAGGCCCAGATTCCCAGGTAATCTGACGCCACCTTTTGGTCTCCTCTGGTACTGCAGGCACATGGAACACAAATACACATAAAACAAAATAGATAAAATCTCAAAAAAAGAATAATCTGTAATTTGCACCGTTTCCCCCTAAGCTAATACTTTCTGTTCAAGTTGATAGTTTTCTCATCTCTGTTGTTTTTGAACTTCTTAAAGCAAAACTTATTGAATCACACGTAATTCAAACCAGACTATCAAGATGCTTGGACAGAAAGGGAAGTTTGGGGGTTTTGGGGTTTTGTTTTTTTTTTTAAGTTTTCAAGTCCCTGGAGACTGGGGTTGTTATTAATGTTCCTGGCTCGCTGCTTCTCAGGCACATGACCTGGCACTCCTCTTGGGCTGGTGGGGCAGCTCTGGTAAGTGAGATGGGAAGGCAGTGTGTAAACTTGGCAGAGCTTGAGGTAGCTAAGAAGACAGACACCAGAGCCCTTGCACCGTAGGGAGCCAGTGGAGTCTAGTGACTGAGAACTGCTTGAAAATCCTTGTCAGGGACCAATGCCTCAGCCCCATGGGAGTGGCAAAGCCATCCCCGGGAGACGATCAGCTTTCCTTGAGTCAAAGTGAGTTGACAGGGTGCAGAATATGCCCACTGAAGCTTTCTCTCCCCCAACTCCCATGCTTATGGCCTAAGGGCTGCTCCTCTGCAGAGCCTGCTCCTACTGAGATTAGCTAAACACCCCTTCTTGTTCAGCTGTAAGCAGGAACCCT